TGTCAAGTCCATCCAGCTCAACAACCATGTAAGTCTTCCCAGGCTCAAAGGCTGTTGCTTGGTGCAACCTCCGAGGGATGCCAAGTTAGATGAACAAGGCACAGCAGCATCCCTGCCCTCCAGGCGTCCTCTGTCTCCATGTTGCAATAAGTCATAAGCTGCTCAGCATTCTGAACAACATGTCAGGCTAGAGAAAATAAATGTCCCTGTGGGCTGGCCGGACTCTGGCTGGATCCAGGAAGGATCTGGACTTACCCGTTACCAGTGCCTTCACCATGCCAGGAACAGAGTAGTTTTCTATCATCAGGGCTGGGCCTTTTCCAGTGAAAACCACCTCTCCAGACAGACCCCAGCACCCCTCTGTTGCTGTGATCTCTGACTAAGGATCTCTGATGTGAAGAAAGAAGGCAAGAGCCAATGAGCAGCTGTCCTCATTGCAAAAATGTTCATCTCAGGGGTACTTTTAAATGTCAGCCTTCTGAGCTCATGTAAGAGTTCAAAAAATAAAATCAGCCAGGCAGAGATGATGAAGTCAGTATGAGGTCAGTCTGAAGTGAGGATGAGTAGAAACGGAAGTCCTTTAGGACATTCCCTTTAGGGTCTTATTTCCACACCATCCTTCAGGAGCCTGTGTGTGGTGCATATAGGCTCCTGTGATCTTTTTCTTTCTCCCTATTAAACCACAAACATCAGAAGCAGACTCTTGTGGGGGAGGGCAGGATACATCCCTTCTTTTGGCTTCACAAACAGGGAAGTGGCTATAGCCACAGAGTTTGGGTTGATCCTGGCCTGTCCACCAGGGGGTAATGCATCTGCAATGGAGACCTCAACTCTCAAACTCCAGGGGCTCAGCAAGAGAGTTAGAGACAGGAGGTTGCCTTGAGCTGGAACAGGAAATACCTGCTCAGCTGTCTGGGCCATACACAAATACAGAGGGCACCCCATACCCTACACATTGATATAGTGTTTTCCAGAGGGGGTTCTTTCATTCAAAAGAGAGGATCTGAGGGAACTGGCTTAAGAAATGCTGCATATAATGTCTTCTTCTTAGACATTCATAAGGCATATTAGCATGTTAAGGCTCTGAGAAGTCCTGTAGTAAAGCAGCCCATTTAACATTGCAGTGTGACTCAAAGTTACCTAACTTGGGACCTTTTCCCCTGTCATAGTACCTCTTAAAGCCCCATGAAATACTCTGGAAAAGCTGCACAGACTTGTTCCCCAGGCCTCCATCCACCGCCTGTCCAGCACAGGGAGCATCCTGGGTTATGGAGTTGGGAGTCAAGTCCTTCATTATCAGGATACACTCTTGCCATGGGGAGCTGTGGAGCATCTCAAAGCAGAGGGCTGCTGTGGCTGGTGGCACAGATCTCATTGTCATGACTCATACAACCGCTCCTGCTGACTCAGATCTAACATACTTGGCAAAATGCATGGTCGTGGCTGCCTCTGAGACAGACCCCATGACTAACTTCTCCAGAAAAGCAGTTGAAGTTAGTAAGCAGAGCCCTTGACCCCTGATGAGCAAGCTGTCAGACCACATCAGTTCTATAAGAATTCCTTTTGCCTTGTCCTCTGAGGTTGCTGGTTTTACTCCCCTGATTCTCAAAGGAAGAACCAGGCATTTCTGTAGGGTAGGAAGCTCTTCCCTGGATCACCTGTCCATTAGTTGAGACAGCGATGTTCAGGTGGGTTGCCTCTAGCACACAGGATAGAGGGCAGCTTAGGATGACACTTCGGGGGAAAAAAAAGTCTGCACAGATCCAGAGACCCCAGGTTTCCACCAAAAGGCCCTGCCTGTGAGTGCCTGAGCTGCCCACACTGACTACGCAGCCACAACACCTGAATGTGCTGCTTGGGTCAGTCCAGGATTTGGACCCATGGAGCGTCTGGGTGACAAGCACAGTGTATGTAGCCACACCCTCAGAGAGGAACTCACACTTCCCCTCCTAAACATCCACCATGAATTATGTTAAGCTGTTGTAAACCTACTGGTATACTCTGCTCTACAGCCTCTTGGGATCACTTTCGTGTCGATTCCTCAATATCTGAAGAACTTCATTTTTGTTAGTCTTACAACATCTCATTTCAAGTCTCAAAGGCTGCCCCTGACCTTTGATGTTAAGAGAGATGTGTGTCAAGGCCAAACCCTGCTTTTTATAACATTGACTATGACCTCTGTGATTTCATCTTTCCAGGAAGAAGATATTCTCCCACGGATTCATTAGCCAATATTTAAGTGTTCTTCATTCCACAAATATTCACTGAGGGCCTGCTAGGTACTAGGTACTTAGAAGAGCTGGAAATTGGGAACAAAACAGAAAACCATTACTCTTTTAGGGCAGACAAGAAAAATTTAGAAAGTAAAAAATACAGCGTGACCTGCAAAGTACTGTTCTAAGCCCTCAGGGACCTTTTAGAGCGGATAAATTATGTTCGCCTTCAGGAATTGTTGCTTGCAAGGAATAGAATAGTGTTAGGAATCAGATTTCCTGCAGAAATAAAGGGCAGGAAAAGAGCAGTGAGCTGTAAAAGCCATCATCTCTCTTTGGTGCATCCACATTCCCACCCATGTTCTCCTTCCTCTTTTTTGTATACCTTCCTTCCTATTTCCTTCTCTTCTCCGCTCTCTAAGAAGGTACAGGAGTAAGGAGAGGGAAGTTGGCCTCTCTACTGCAAATGGATACAAGATAGAGAATAATTAGGACAGAAGAACAGTCTGACCATAGAAAGGGCCATTGGAGGTGGGGGGATAACTCAGAGCACACTGGAGTCAAGGAAGACTTTCTGGAGGAGGTGCATTTGTGCTGGGTCTGGTGGGAAGAGGATTTGGATGCTTAATGGAGTGCAGAGGCTATTCCCAGAACAGATCAGTGTACAGGGGCATCCAACTCAGAGCACAGAGTGAAAACGGTCCCAATCACTCTACTGATCACTTCCCCATCCCCCCATGACACCTTTAGTTGGGTTTCTCTGGCCCTCTTCAGGGTGGACAGGATTCTCCCAAGTCTCATTTCTTGGATCTGCAAACCAGACTATAGGGGCAGTAGGGTACGGCTAAGGAGGGGACCAGAGGCGGCAGAAATGGGGAAAATGCTGCCCATTGGAGGTCAGAAAGCCACATATCATGAACCCAGGTAAGAGCTGGAAGATTTAACCTCCCATCTACTTGTTAGTGACCTCCGTATATACTCATCCAGTGACAGGAACTTTGACTAAGAAGTTAGAACACAGAGGTGGGCCTCTAGTCTGCCAGTGATTTGCTGACGGAGTCCTAGCATCAAGCAGCTAACAGTTTATCTGGCTCCTCTGTGCTGGGCACTATAAAACAATCTTCTTGTTGGTCATACCTGAGAATCTACTGGTGAGAATGCAGGGCAGGGCCTCTTGGAGGAGGTGGGGTGAATTTTGCATCATCTTCATCTGGAGGCCTTGAAAGGGCAGGGACAACAGGAGTCATCGAAGCATCTCCAGTGGGCCAGTGCCTTCGCATAAATCAGCTTGTATCAGCTTTACACCAAGTCTGAAAAGTAGAGATTTTCCTCACTTTCTGAGGAGGAAGCTGAGATTCGGAAGTTAAGACACCTGTGTGAGGTTACATGGTTAAGTAGTGGGGCTGGGACTTAAACTTAATTCTGACCCCCAAGTCCATGCTCCTGGCATGCCACCGTGTGTGCCTCCCCAAGGCCAGGAGTCATGTGGCAAGTCCCTGGGACACATTCTGAGCTTGTCTGAGTTGCCTGTCCAGCGCACAAAGATTCCTGATGGAGATGATGGGAAAGCTGCTGTTCTCCCTTACCATGGGCCTCCCCTCTGTGTCTCTGCAACCTCAATACTTCTAGTCCGCAAACCAGAAATTTACACTAAGATGACAACTTGTTACAGGCTGCCTCTCACAAATTCAAACACGATATGGGTCAAAACATGGCCCAGAGTCTAACTGCCACGTGCAATGTCATCTAGAAATCATGGGGCTCTCCCATAGTCAGACGGTGACCCAGGGGAGGCCCCACAAGCTGTGGTTTATGCTACACGCAGAGCCAAACTCATGAGTCTGTTTTGCTGACAATCCATCCCTCTGCGTGACGTATTGTCATTACTTGGTGGCCACCTAATGGATCTGGGGTTTGGTAGCTTGGATACAAGTCCCTTCTAGGCAACTTACCTGTTGTGTGATATTTAGCCACTCTGACCTTTGGTTTCCTTGTCGCTGAACTGGGGATAACAACAGGTGTTCCAGTGACCTTACAGTGCCATCAAAAGGAATACATGAAGTAACATGAAAGTGCCTTAGGACCTGCAAAGCACTGTCCATGTGTTGAGTATTATTGTTAGGACAAGTTCATGTTCAACTTTAAAGATGCTAATCTACTGTAAGCTCCCCGAAGACAAGAAAGGCTTCCACGTGCAAACAGCTTACACCTTTCACAGCCAGCGACATTCACTTAGGGTCCAGATCTGTGGGTGGCATTGGAAGCCTTAGCTGTAGCCTTGCCTGGGGACTCAGCTAAACTTTCTTGCCCTGAAGTGTGGTTTAGACCAGACATACTCAAACTTTTGTGCAGAGACACTAATGGACTTCATCTGAAGTGGAGCCAGAAAAATGATATTTGAAGGGCTCATCAGAAGATTCTGAATTGCACACAAGGACAGATTGAAGGGAGTCCAGGCTCAGAGGCTGGGGACAGTCTCTTGGGAGGAGAATATTTGGATTCTTCAGCCTCCTGGCATGTGGGGAGGGAAAATGATGGGATTTTTTTCCTCTTGAAGGGAGTATCAGGGGAGTCAATTCCCGGCTGCTGGAAAGCTGGAAGCCACTATCAAGAAAAGGAGGGTGACGTCAGTCATGAGAAAAGCCTCGTGAGGACTCGCAGGCTGTACGCCCCAGCCTCTTGGTGGCAGGTGGGCTGGAAAGAGAGGGCCATGATAGGCAGAGGGGCTGAGGGTGGCCACAGCCAGCAGGTGGCTAACATGGCATATCATTCTCTCTCTCTCTGCAGATTGTGTTCCGGAAGATCAGCGATGTGAAGCGTGAAGAGGAAGAGCGCATGAAACGGAAGAATGAGGCCCCCCTGATCTTGCCCCCAGACCACCCTGTCCGGCGCCTCTTCCAGAGGTTCCGACAGCAGAAAGAGGCCAGGCTGGCGGCTGAGAGAGGGGGCCGGGACCTGGATGACCTGGATGTGGAGAAGGGCAATGTCCTCACAGAGCACGCCTCTGCCAACCACAGCCTCGTGAAGGCCAGCGTGGTCACCGTGCGTGAGAGTCCTGCCACGCCCGTGTCCTTCCAGGCAGCCTCCACCTCCGGGGTGCCAGACCACGCAAAGCTGCATGCGCCGGGGTCCGAGTGCCTGGGCCCCAAGGGAGGCGGGGGCGACTGTGCCAAACGCAAAGGCTGGGCCCGCTTCAAAGATGCTTGCGGGAAGGGCGAGGACTGGAACAAGGTGTCCAAGGCCGAGTCGATGGAGACGCTTCCCGAGAGGACAAAAGCGTCAGGCGAGGCCACGCTGAAGAAGACAGACTCGTGTGACAGTGGCATCACCAAGAGCGACTTGCGCCTGGACAACGTGGGTGAGGCCAGGAGCCCCCAGGATCGGAGTCCCATCCTGGCGGAGGTCAAGCATTCTTTCTACCCCATCCCTGAGCAGACACTGCAGGCCACGGTCCTGGAGGTAAGGCACGAGCTGAAGGAGGACATCAAGGCCCTGAACGCCAAAATGACCAATATTGAGAAACAGCTCTCCGAGATACTCAGGATATTAACCTCCAGAAGATCCTCTCAGTCGCCTCAGGAGCTGTTTGAAATATCGAGGCCACAGTCCCCAGAATCAGAGAGAGACATTTTTGGAGCCAGCTGAGAGGTGTATTACAAAAAAATAAAAATAAAAAAGTCAAACACCTCCACCCCTGCCGTCACCACCACCCCGAACACACATGTCCACGTGACCAACACTTCAAGTCGACTTTTCCTGACAGAAAACGTGGGGCAGAACACAAAAACAGCAAGGGTAGTGTGCCCTACCCTGCAAGGTGGCAGCTGCATCTGAACCGTCTTTGCACAATTTTGGAAGAAGGGACATGCTGTCTAAAGGGTATCTTCCTTCATTTTTAATTTTTTACTACCATGATATTTGTAAAAGTTTAAAACGACCAAAACAGAGCAGCAGCCACCTGGGGACTGGTGGGAAAGTGCGGAGAACCTCTCGTGTATATACCATGCTGGGCTCCTTTGCCAAGCCCGCCCCCAGCCCCACCACAGACTGCAATGGGCCAGGGACTTCCCGGCATTCCCGTCCTTGCACAGCCCGTGTCTGACATCACCGTGTTTTCCTGTAGTTGCCATTTGTCACTAGCTCGGGACCAGGGGAGCTTGAGGGACAGGAGGGTAGAGCCTGGAAACTTTGTCTCATGATTAAGGCCAGAAAAGCAGCTGCAGGGGTGGCACATGCCTTCTATAGACACTTGGAGCCGGGAATCCTCAGGTCTCCTTTCCCCAGGGAGGTGAGGCAAGGGTGAGAGCTGGAGAGGGGCCCTCAGGATCCAGGGGTTCTCTGTGCTGCGGCCCACAGCCTGCTCCTCTGGGACAGTGGGCAGGGAGGGCTCCAGAGTCCCCAGCTGAGCCTCTGGCCCTGCTGCATGCCGCTGGCCTCACACACAGGCTCCCTTGCTTCTGTTCCTTCTCGGCCCCTTCCCAAGTGTTCCTGTGGCATTCCTCAGGGTATGGAGCATCGGCAGGAAGGGTCATGAGCCCAGAGTTGCTTTATTAGCACAGCAGACACATAGACACACACAACCTCAGAACTGTAGCAAGTGCTGTGTTTATACTTTGATTCTCATCGGGATTGCCCTTCAGACCTTTGTATTTTGTTCACTGCATGGGGTCATTATAGGCACTTGGGAGCCATGCTGGGCCTTAGTTTAAAGCCAGCCTCTCTCCTACTAACGTCAGTTGGATTTGAAGAGAAAATGGACAATGATTGTAGGATCATGGTTGTACTCTTTTCAGGAGCTGGAAAGAAAACAAAGCAGTGAGTTTCTGGCTACCTCTGTAAGGTGATGCAGAGACGTGGCCTTGGAGCTGTGAGCCACAGGGAAGGTCTGAGCTCACAGCGATAGTCATGGAGCTGCGTATGGGCCATCCGAGTCCCTAGGCCACGATGCTCAAGGACACTCCACTGCCTCGTAGTCACCTGAGTCAGGTTATTGCTGTGCTTAGGCTTCTCTCAGTGGCATCTGAGAAAGGAAAGGGGAACAGTCTCTTCCAGGCACAGTGAAACTGGCCTGGACATGTATCCTAGACAGAGGTGCCAGGACTCCAAATGTTGACAAGCAAGGTTAGAAGTTCAGCTCTGAAAGTCAGGTTGGAGGGAGTGGAATTAGGAGTGCAGCTGACAACATGGACTTACCAAAGGGGCTTACCTTTGCCTGTGTTAGAAGGTGACCTCATCCCTGGCACCTATGCCCTACCAAAGATACTCAGTGTTTCTGAGAGCCTCTGGTCCGAGCCTGTCCACCACACCTCCTTAGTCCTGCCAGTGCTCATGGTGAGTCCCAGGCTTGGCCCTCAATTGTGCAAGGCAGGGCTGACCTCTGGTTCACAGGGTTGGCTCTGGGAAGCCAGGGCCTGGCAGCTCCGGGGGGAGTCCTGCTCCATGCGCCCTAACCTCACATGTAGCTTCTCACACGAAGCTTCCAGGGGCTGCCCCTGACTTCTCCAGGCTGCGACATAGTTCAATTTGGCCTCAGATGGCAGCATGCAGAGAAGAGGAAGTCTAATTTCCCAAGGCTGAGTTGCAAGGGTTGGTGACTCCAGATAAAGCCAGGAGGCCTTCAGCCTCTTTCACTTGAGAAGCTGCCGCCCAGTCTTTCGGTAAGAGGCTGTAAAACATCTGGAATCCCATCTGTTGGCTGCCACCTAACATTCTAGTTTGCCATTGCTTGAGGATGTTCCTCAATTTGCTTTTGAAGTTGAGAACCACCACGTTTAAGGCAGGGCAGGCCTCTAATCACCCCAAAACCCAGCCTCAGAAGCACCTGCCCCTGGAGACTTGTTGCCTCCAAGCTCTCCATGGACTTGATGAAAGGCTTCTTGTCCAGAACCCCACAGCCCGATGTCAAGAGGCCCTGCCACTTCCCTCCAGCTCTGCCGGAGGCAGATGGATGTCCATGAAATCTCTCAGACCTCTGGGTATGAGGGACAAAGATGCTGTAAGGCTTTGAGGTCCAGACATGTTTTGGGGGGAAGCATAGCTTCAGAAATACACTCCTGAATCAATGGAAACTGGGCTTATGACTGGAAGCTGGCTCCTGCGGCAGCAATCTGCTCATCTTAGGGTCACAGGTGCATGTGAGGGTGCATGGGCTTCATTCTCTCATCCTCCCTAGGATTTGAGGGATTTTTTTTTTTTTTGCTGTAATTGTTTTCTCTGAAAAAAACATGGTGTAAATGAGCCAAACCTTTCTCCCTTCCTTTCCGGGCCATGCACTTGGCCGCAGGCTGCTTTGTGCTGACTGCCTTCCCATGCCAGGATGCCACTCTGGGTTCCTGAGCCAGGACCATGTGCTTCAGACACCACTGACCTGACCCTTCCAGTATGAACCATTATCTGGTGGCTGAAGAGAGATTAGGGAAACAAAAAGTTAGTAGGTATGGGACAGAACATTTAGACTTCGGAAAAAGTATGCCAAGAGAGAACAGATTTGCCCAGGATATGCTTTTCCTTTTTGAGGAGAGGGGGCATGGTATGTGGCACCATTGTCCAGTAAGTGCTAGTTTTTAATCTCTACGAAATTATTTTCTTTAAATGTCATTCATATTGAAGCTCCATTTCCCAGAGAATATCCTGACATGCTGCTTTGAAGTAGGGAGGTCCTGTCCCTGTCACTTGGCTGCTGGCTGAACATTCTCTCCCTCGCTGATGGAAGGGTGGGTGAGGGTTGACTCTAAGAATGAAGGGAGTCAACGAGATGGTTTGTTTGTTCTTGGAGCAGGGCAGTGACTCCAGCAGTGGGCGCTGCCATCCCATATACTTACAAAGGGCTCCTCCACTGGACATGACAAGATAGCCAAAGGACAGAGACAAAGGGGACCATTTAGTTAAGAAACCAAATTGTCTAGTATACAATTAATGCAACTAATTGCATTAATTAATGCAATGCTACATTATGCTAATAAGGTTATAACATTAATGCTACAGGATGGCCCAAGTGTTTAAAAAGCTGAGCCCCTTTAGCAGCCTTCCAGCAAACTTTTGGAAATTCATTTCTTACTTGATTTTTTCTCGTGATCCAGTTCCAGGGGCCTGTTTTACCCTCAGCCTCAATCCAGTGTGCTGCTGTTGGCCAAACATCAGCCCCTTTCCTGGCATCCTCCTCTTTCAAAAGTGTGGAGAGCTGGACAGAGGTAAAAATGTACTATCACCCCATCCCATCCAGCAAGCTTCCTCTCCAAATCCTTAGATGGAAGGTAGAGGTATTATGCCAACTGTCGAGCTCTCTGTCCAGGCCCTCAGGACTAAGTGAATGCTTTAGGAATACTAGGTGGAGGAAGATCCCCATTTCTCCTTATTGCACTGACCACTATGTCTCACATGCATACTCTGGGAAATTTAAGAGCCCTGGTGGAGCTACACATTGCTGATGTGCATTTGATTAATAGATTGTACTATGTCTTGCAATAAAGACGTTTAGCCTTAAGACCCTTGAATGGAACTCCAGCTGTGATAGAGCTGCCAATGCCCCTTCCTCTCTCCTCCCTTATCACCTACTGTTGCTTAAAGAGGAGGCCACTGAGGGCACACTTGAAGCCCCAGACAGCCCCCCTGTTGCTAAATCATTGTTATTGCTCTATATACTGCCTTCTCTCGCTTCAATGAAAATTACCTTCACCAGCTCCCGTGCCCTCCACCTGGAGGAGACTTCACGATCCTCTCAGCACTGACTGCAAACATCAGAGAAAAAACCATTTTCTCACCAAAGGTGTTTATGTTGGGAAGTTTTAATTTCCACCCCTACAGTTCAAAAGAATCAATGTGAATTTATCTGCAGCTTAAATTACTTTCAAGTGAAACTTCCTTCTCATGAGAGCATATCAGACTTATTCTGGAACCTCTAGAACTGGACTTGAATACCCTGCAGGTGCCAGACCGGTGGGTGCCACCCTGCCTGCCATTACACTTTTCTTACAGCCATTGTCTCTTTATCTGTGACTTCTGAATCATCCAACGGACCCATTAGTTGTTCAATGAGAAGTTCACAGATCTTGTATCAGGATATAAACTGGTCTTACGTTAAGAAGGATGCACCCTCCCCTAATGAATGTATTCTCTTAATATTCTGATGCTGTGTTTGTGCATCAGTTGGAGACTGCCCACATCCAGCATTTCCCCGACACCTCAAGGACGCTTCTACTCATGAGCAGTTCGTCATTCTGGGGCTTCTCCTTATATGAAAACTCTCTCGATTGAATCCTGCCAAATCCTTTACTGGGTTTTTCTTTTTCCTTTGCATCTGTCACTTTGTCCAAATGAGCATGAATAAACAAAAGTGTAAATGAGCTGATACTATTTTTGTGGTCAGCTGAGAATGCTGCCAAGAACACCACTGTATAGCTGTGGCTTGAGAAACGTGCAGGCCCCTCCATTGATGATATTCCCTTCTCAACATTTTTAAACAAGCACAAATGATATTTGTAAAAAAAAAAAAAAAGTTTTATTTATTATGGTAATAAACTATTTTATACATGTTACTTGCTTTCGCCTTACATTAATTTTAAGTCACTGAATTGGCTGTTCGGACCTAAGAGGCCAGAACAAGGATGGTATTTTCTATTCAGGAGTTTGTTTGGGAAGCTCTTATTTGGACAGCACTCATAGTTTTTTGAGAACTCAAGTCCCAGATTCACCGAGAGTATGTATCAGAGTACCCAACAGTGAGAGAACGCACATGAAGGGATGCGGCTCTATGATCTTAAAATGCGGGTGCATCTGCTGTAAAGGGCAGATACAGACTTCAGTGCCTGGTATCACGAAAAACTATGACACGTTGATCTGAGATACCCGAAGCTGACCTCCCACTTGGAAGTATACTTTTTTTTTTTTGAGACGGAGTTTTGCTCTTGTTACCCAGGCTGTAGTACAATGGCACCATCTCAGCTCACCACAACCTCTGCCTCCTGGGTTCAGGCAATTCTCCTGCCTCAACCTCTTGAGTAGCTGGGATTACAGGCACACGCCACCATGCCCAGCTAATTTTTCGTATTTTTAGTAGAGATGGGGTTTCACCATGTTGACCAGGATGTTCTTGATCTCTTGACCTCGTGATCCACCTGTCTCGGCCTCCCAAAGTGCTGGGATTACAGGCTTGAGCCACCACGCCCAGCCCGGAAGTTTACTTTTTAATTCGGAACAATTTAGATTGACATTTGTATAAAATATATTAAGGTAGTTTGCCCCTCATCAAAATAGTCCCGTACACCAGCATGGTTTCAGTTTTGCCATTATTTTCATAGGTATTGCTTCCTGCTCATGGCAAGGCTCCACAGTACTGCCAACCCGAGTTCTTATTTACCATCCAGTGGGCTACATTTCAAAAATGGTGCTTCTCTTATTATAGACAGTGTAACTTAATCAGGGGATGAAGAATCTGACCTACAAGCCTCTGCTTGATCTTACAGGATCACAGTATGTGTACAGTATTTTTAATGTTTCCTTACCCATGATTTAATCACACTACAGAAAAGCATTATAAAAATAATTTAAGGGTAATATTGTTTAAAATTCCAAGTTATTGATGTTTGTTTCAAAAGCATCACTAATAAAATGTTAAAGCTATCTTTTTTTCTTTTTCTTTTTTTTTTTTTTTTTTGAGAGACAGTGTCTTACTCTGTTGCCTAGGCTGGTCTCAAACTCCTGAGCTCAAGTGATCTACCTGCCTCAGCCTCCCAAAATGCTGGGATTACAAGTGTGAGCCACCACACCCGGCCTAAAGCATTCTATCTAGATCTCCTCAATGTTGCAAAACATCTCTGTGAATATGATTTTTGTAATTAGTCGAAAGGACCAGTAATATAGAGCTACGTAATGAATGTTTTGTTTCGGGTACCAAATGGAGTACAATGATTTTAAAAAGAAGTGTTTTTGTTTGTTTGTTTTAAAATAAAACAGTAAAACAGTTTCCCTGAGAAAGGCCTCAGAGAGGCTTTCTCAAAATGTACCGAGAAGGTCAAGAGTATCACAATAATTTGGCTTCTCATGTTGTCCACACTGAACCCTTTTGTATGGATATATTCTGATACAGCTGCTAAAAACCAAACTCATTATATTATGGTTAATTTACTATGTTTAGTCAATGATAATGCTATTTTAATTAAGCAAGTGAGCAGTCTCAATTTCTGTAAGGGGAAGCCACCCCCCCCCCTAAATTGCTATTCTCCCAATATATAGATTATTACTGATTTATTTTTTCTTGAGGCCTGTTGTCTTTAATAGGACAATATGTTTTCTGCTGACATCTCTAACAAATTAATCTGAAAAAAATAATACCTTTCTGTCTTCCTGTGTGGTCCCAAGAATTAGCATGACTGAGGTTTGGATGTCCTTCTGGTAACTTGCTTCCCTCCTTGGGTAGCGTCTTGGTGATTGGGCTTGGAGCTCTCGGGCTTGCCCACAGGATCCTGGGGCTGGAACTGACCTTGGAACCTCCCAACACTGTGCCTGAAGTTGCCCAGGGCTGATGACATGTCCAGTGTCCTTGGCTGAACTCTTCTGTGTGCCCAGGAACCACAAGGTCTTTCATTCAGAGCAACTACAAGGTTTTAGTTAATATGCGTGAGGAGAGAAGCATTATCATTTTCATATTATAGCTGGGGAGTAGGAAGAGGTTGAGCACAACAATGGTCCTGTATAATCCACATATTAATTAATCAGCCTGAAATACAGAGCTAAACACAGTAATCATTTATTAATTCCTGAGAACCATTATGAATCATGTAATAGTTTAAAAGAAATTCTGGATTACTACTTTCAAATATATCCACCGACTCTTCCAAAATAGTTTAATGAATTTATAAGCCTGTTTGTTTGTATATAAATGGTATATCTGGAAGATCTCAAAACTTTTGTATCATTTCTATGTACACATACATTAGATACTTCCTTATCATCATTTTTATACTCCTTTTTTTCTTAGCAAGCCCTTTCTTTCCAAGTAAACTACAGCCAAACTTCTTCTGGCTGGCCACAAATCGTGAATCAGTGTTAATCCATGAAGGTTTGCTGCATTCATTTAGGTGCTCGCTCCTCCCCCATTCCCTCCTTAAAACTGAGCACCCTGCAATCACTGGCCCCATGTCTGTCTGTCTATCCCTCTGTCTGTCTGTCTCTGTCTCATTTACCAAACCAGCTGCTGAGGCTGCTACTGTGCAGCAGCCCTCGCCTCTGTCTTTTGCTTTAGTTAACACCTAATGTGACCACCCCAGGTAGTCAGTATCTGGTCCCCTCTCATCTCTTTGCAAAGCAGAGAAGCAATGAAGAAAGACATTCAGCAAAATGGTCCTGTACTCCAGGAGTTTAAGCCTCAGTGAGCTGATAACCACAGCCAAGACACAAGAGCCATGTCATGTAACAAACAGGAGGCAGCACTAGGTCTGAGTGAACCTTTCACTAAATGACAGCTTCATTCACGTACTTGAGATGTTGTAAGTTCTCCTGTGATTAGATCTATTATGGATTCAAATTTTAAGTTTCCTTTACCCCTCCCCACTCCAAAAATAAAATCCAAGTTCAAACAGAAGTATTCTGAATTATCTACCACCTGGGACCTTTGGTGGCCTATCCAGCATCTTTTTAGAGGAGTGAATAGTCAAGCTATGTGAGTTTATTTAGATTTTAAACATTTTCTTCAAACATATTCAAAATAATTCTATAAACATATAGATTATCTACATGACAGAAAAGGCTTCGTTTGAATCAAACCCAAACAATATAAACCACTAAACCTGAATCACCAAGTAGGAGGATGACTTTTGGGACTTGTGTGGAGAGAGTGGATAAGACCCCAGGATGCCATCCTAGTAACTAGCCTGATAGCACCCATCTGTGGACATACTATCCCGTGGTTTCTAAATTCTGCTTCTTTATTAAGAAACTATTTGCTGTCACGTAGAGGAATTACCGTATTATACTTCTCTGAGACTCTCAGAAACAAGCACCCAAATGTAGATCATCCTGCTGAAGCTCAAATCACAGGACTCCTTGGGTATGGATACCTTAGAATTCTACAGGGCTGCTATCATCTTCCTGGACTAGGTAATTCAAAAGACAGCTGGGGCTTGGTCTCCTTCCTACAAAGGGGCTGAAGCATGAAGCTCAAACCCTAGTGCTGCTTCCAGAGACCCTGAAGGATGTGATGAAGGAGGTCACTCAAACATCAATGTCACTCAAATATTTTATAAATATTGATCAGAAGACAGGCTATCGCTAATCAGGATGTGTGTGTCTTAGTCAAGAAACATCCACTATATTCTATTCTTTGTTAAGGAGAAAGAATCCAAACGGCTCATAAGACTAGGTTCTAGACCAAAATGTCACCATGTATAGGACAAGACACACTACTGCCCTGGACCCCAGCTTACTCAATAGGAAAATGATGGGTTGGAGTAGATCTCAGAGACTCTAAATTAGTAGACTGTCTGGCCGTGAATTTTCTATGAGAGATCCAGCTTCCAGTCTTGGAGTGAAGATATTCAACAGAAGATGAAAAGATCAAATCCCTTAGAGACTGTCCTGGAGTGAGAGGTCAGGGTGAAGCAACATCTGCCTTGGAGGCCAGCAGCAAAGACTGGCCTGAGCCCAATAGCATTAGTCCATGGCATAGGTCTGGGCCCAGACCATGCCCACATGGGAGTAGCAGTACAGGAATCCCAGGACAGAAAGGGTCACCCACGGCCAGCCTGCAGAGGGAGAACAGAGATGGAAGAGCAGTTAGAAATGCTTGGGGCAGGACCTCCCACATGGGCAAACTGCCTCCTTTTGGAGTAGGCAACCTGAGAAACAACACACGTCTCGGTTGACACGTAAGACACAGGCTTCCTGGGAAGTCTTCTGTAACTAGAATTCCAGCAGTTGAGCCCTACATTCCCATCAGAGTCAGCATAAAATGAGGAGTGCACTACTGCAAATACAAACCATGTTTAGAAACACGGCAAGCTTTTAAAGAATACATGTTTATGGCCAGGCACCTGTAATCCCAGGACTGAGAGAGACTGAGGTAGGAGAATCAATTGAGTCCACGAGTTGGAGACCAGCCTGAGAGACATAGTGGGACCTCATCTCTACAAAACAACAACAACAAAATTCATCAGGGATGGTGGCATGTTTCTGTAATCCTAGCTACTTGAGAGGCCAAGGAGGAAGGATCACTTGAGACCAGGAGTTAGAGGTTATAGTGAACTATGAATGTGCCACTGCACTCCAGCTTGGGTCACAGAGTTAGACCCTGTATTGGCTAAAAGAAAAAGAACAAAAAGAAGAATCCATGTTTATAGGACTAAAGCAGTAAATAAGTGAAAAAGGAAAAAAAGTCCATGATTCTGATTAAGAAAAAGTATAGTCTCACATGGCACTGTAAACACGTAGGTCATGTTCCAAAATCTGTACTTTTAGATGAGTTTTTTGAAATCAGGGTATGTATCCCCCTAGAGTAACATTGCGTGATTCATGGACAAGACACAAAAATCACCACCATCATCATCACTGTTAAAAAAACAAAAACAAAAACAAAAACCTGTAGTAACTGTGAAATAGCACTAATAGGAGCTCTGAGCCCTGTGCATCTAGGATCCCAAAGCCCAAATATAGGGTCCTCTGTCCTTCCCGGTCAGCCTTCCTGCAGGTTTCAAGAGTTCTAAATGGTGGGGAGTGGGATACGGATGCTCAGATGTGGCTTGTCCTTGGCAATGAGAGGAAGGTACCAGCAGCCAAAAGGGAAAGGGTGCCAGGCAAGATCAGGAGGGCCATTTGAATGGAGGCATCACATTTCACATTTCACAGACAGCTTTATAAATTTAAATGTTTGACATTTCTTTTGAATATGGCTAGCTAGGAAGTCATTACCTTTGTCACTGCAATTGTGTGTGTTAAAAGAATAACTATGTGAAATGTAGGCATTTAAAATGAACTACATTTTTTTCCTTAAAGTCCATGAGTCCCATAGTAAATCTCAAAAAGTAGATTGAGCATTGTACTGAATTTAGTGCCATTTGTAAGCATACAGAAGGGGGAGCCTAAATTAAATATTTGCTTTCAAAACTCAAAGCTTTTAGTGATTCCCTCTACAAATACTTGTCTTAGAATATCTGATGTTCTTTTTTCTTCTTCTTTTAAAATGAACAGCCCTTTCTGCTGAGTATTTGTTACTTAATGATCTTCATGTCTTCTGCATGTTTCACTTATTCAAACATTTATTGGGTGTTTTGGAGAGCCAGAGATGCTGGGGTAGATACAAGATGCGAAAATGGAAAGACCAGCCTCGTATCAAAGGCACTCCCACTCCAACCGGGGAAAGACACACACACACACACACACACATACACACACACACACACACACACACACACACAGCAGTGGGATTTACAATCCAAATGGTAAGTTCTGAATGATAGAATGTACAGAGCACATTTAAACTGGGCCACGTGGGCCGAGCAAGAAGTTTGTCCAGTGGAAAGGGACAAAGACCAGCTACCAGAAAAAGACCACCTGATGTGTAACCTGACAGGCCATCCAAGGAATAGGGATCATGTGATATGGCTGGTTCACAGGGAGGAGGCAGGCAAACGGTGGTAGGAATAGGAAGGAGGCTGCAGGAAGCCCCTGGGGATGATTACAGGCTCTCTTCTTGCTAGATCAACCATTAGCTGCCATGATTATTAATACATCATGGGAAGTCACGAAGGCATAGTGGGACGTGTGCAGGCTCTCAACTGGGACAAGTTCAAATTCTGGCTCTGCCACTTGCCAGCTGTGGAACCTTGAGCAAGTTAATGAATCTCAAATGAAAAACGAGGCATAAAGCAACTTAACTGAGTGTCCTTACAAGGATTGAATGAAATGATGTAAAGACTTGCACGGTGCCTGGCATACCATGGGAACTAAAAAAAAGGTAGTTGTAATAATGGTGAGAGGGCACAGAAGTCTCCACCAAGATTACAGTGACAACAGGGAAGTCAAGCCATGGTCCTCCTTGCGCCTTAGCCTGGCTTTCCACAGTGTTCTCCCAGGCGCGGCAGGAAAGGGAGGTGAGGGCAGCAGAGGCCTCCAGCAGCCTGGCTCCAGAACCAGCCCCATAGCTCCACCTCCTGCTAGACTGCCAGTATGTGTCCTGTGGCTGCCATAACAACTTATCAAACTTAGTGGATTCAAACAACAGACGTGCATTCTCTCTGGGTTCTGGAGGCCAGAAGTCTGAAATCAAGGTGTTGGCAGGAACCCTTCCTTACCTCTTCCAGCTTCTGGTGGCTCCTAGGATCCCTTGGCTGATGGCGGCATCACTGCCTCCATTTTCACAATGCCTTCTTCCCTGTCCTCTACTCTCCTTGTACGGGCATCAATCATTGGATTTAAAGGCTACCCCAAATCCAGGAGGATTTTCTCTCAAGATGCTTGACAAGTTATATTCGTAAAGAACCTATTCCCAAATGAAGTCACATTCTGAGGTGCCAGGTATACATGAATTTGTGGAGAAACACTATTTAGTCAGTACAGTCAGGTACTTTCCCAGAGCTTCCGACAGACGCATCCTGCTGGAGGCCTTCAGAGCTCTCATCACTGTGGCTCAGGCACAGATGCCAGGGGACTGGTCTACGCCTGCTCCTTGGTGAGTTCAGAGAGCAGGATGAGGGGAGAGGGCTTTGGACCCAGGAAGCAACTCCTGGACTTCAGCTGTGTTTGGGGTGAGGCATCAGCAGTGTTTGGTAAGCATGGAACTCAGAGGCCAGCTACAAAGATGGGCCAGTGGGGACGTTTCACATACACAATGCTAGGCCTGGGGCATTGCACAGCTCTGCTTGGCACCCACAGCTATTAAGTGACGCCTGTGAAAGCTTCCCCCTAACACATAGGCCTGTAAGGCAGACTGTCCCTAAGGCTGCCCAGAGGTGAAGCACAGACATGTTCAGCATGGGCCATGGCTAGGTTCTGAAAATTCTCCCCATTCTTACTATATACCCCATCCAGAGAGGCGGCTAGATAGCACTTAGGAGACTTATAATCCTGACCAAACTATGAGACTGGAGTAGAGCCTCAGTGTTCCCATCTACACAATGAGCAGTCAGGATAATTTTTTAAAAGCATGCAAATAAAATAAGATTACAGATATAGTAGTGCTTTTAAAAAGTGTTTTAGAAATATAAAAGATTAATATAGGGCCAACTGATATTTTTGTTACATACACACAGCTTACTGGACTTTTTAACGCACACATGTTCCTACAGACAGTAGACCTGGTGTGTCAAGGGCTCCTTATCCTTCCTGACCTCAGAATTAAGATCTGTGACGACAGAATCATCAAGAATGGCAGTTCAAAATGAAGTGACACGCTGAGGTACCAGGTACACATGAATTCCGGGAGGAACACTATTTATCCCAGTCCAGGCAGGTACTTTCTCTGAGCTTCCAGACGGACTCATCCTGCCTGGAGGCCTTTAGAGCTCTCATCACTGTGGCTCAGACACACAGGCCAGGGGACTGGTCAACATGTCCTCAGGGAGAGACAGATTCTCCATGTCGCCCTGCAGCACTACTCAGACAATACTTCACCAGCACTTGCAATGTGCCTGGCCCTGTCCTAGGTATTGATATCTCTCTCTTGTTGGTGGTCTGTAGGCACAACACACAGGCCTGCAAGGAAGCACTGATGTGCCCTGCTAAGTGCACTGCTAAGCAAGCACTGATGTGGCCCAAGGGGGCAGGCGCGGTGGGGTCGCGCTTGGGGCAGCGCCTCACCTTTATCAGCGGCTCAAATAACAATGTAAGACTGGAAAGCAAAGGGAAGAGGCTGTCATTCTGGCAACATTCCAAGGGCTGCTACGGTGCACAGTCAGTCATGCAGGCTTAGTCATTAACAAAAAAGATGGTGTCAAAAGGGTTCTGCCTGACAAACTCTGACTTCCTCACCCTCAAGCACCACTCCCCACTGGGTATTCTCCTTCTGGGCTCTCTCTTCTCCACCAGGAGTGAGATTCCCAACCCCCATTTCTTTCATGCCACATCCCCCCAACACACACACACACACACACACACACACACACACACACACACATACACACACTCTTTCTTTCTCTCTCTCTCTCTCTCTTTCTCTGTCTCTCTCTCTCCTTCCCCTCCTTCCCTCCCCCCATTAACGTGGCTCATACTGCCTGGTGGGCAGTATGCTATTTGTCAAAGGAGAAGATACTTCTTAAGAGTGTCCTTTAGGGCTGATTCCCCCTACATACTCTGAACACTCAGGGCTGGTCCCCAGAATCAACGATACATGTAATTTCCTGCTGGGCTTTTGATATCTGGATCTAACAAGATCTAAACAGGTAATCAGTTTTAACAGATAACAGCTAGGCAGCATCAAAGATATTACGAACAGGTTTCTAGAAAGTCAGACAACAGTTGCAAGAGATTGGATGATACTGTTAATAAGGTTGATTATTTGACAGATACAGCTAAATGCAGATAAGTAGGATGTATAGCACAATAGATTCAATTAAGAGGACCAATGTAGGTGGCATAATAGGTGGAGTTAATAGGATGTGGGTGGTTGTATATGACATTGTTAATAGGATATCAGTGAGCTGGATAATAACTACAGCTAATGAGAAACAGGTAGGACACAGAGGAAAATGGCTGAAGCAAAGAAAAGGCCAGCAGTGTAACTTTACTTGGACTTACTATGGCTGAGCAACTC